TGTCTGGGATCCTCAGAGAAAATGTCCAAGCATGAGAGCGGAATAGATCCCATTAACATTAACCTTACAAAACATTTTGGGGATTTCAGCTATACACATTCCCTCCATCCTTCAGCCCCTACCCGCAGCAATTTCAATGAGACTGGGCTAGAACTGGGCAGGTGGCATGGGCGACGGGTATAATGTCTGAATTATTGATATCTGAATTAACAGAATACAGGAACCCTTAGGATAAATTGTTAACCTCTAACAAGATATAGCTAAACATAGACCACTACAGTTACCCCTCTTCTTCCAAGTGTTTAACAATACACGTTTACATTTCAAACTCTAGCTTATCTAAGGTGGACACACTTTTAAAATATCTCTCTAAAGGTTAAATCTGAATCAATTACATGCAAGTTGCTTAACACTTTCTTGCAATGTGTGACAGAAGTTTAGATCCTGTGTGGATTCTCCCATGTTTAATGAGGTATGATCTCTGTGTGAAACTTTTCCCACAGTCCAAGCACTTAGAATATCAGGGTTGGAAGGGACCTCAGGAGGTCATCTAGTCCAACTCCCTGCTCAAAGCAGGACCAATCTCCAATTTTTGCCCCAGATCCCTAAATAGCCCCCTCAAGGATTGAACTCACAACCCTGGGTTTAGCAGGCCAATAGCACTGAGCTACCCCCCCACAATGAATCTGGCAGTGGTGGGATTCGAAGCCACGCCGCCAAAGAGACTGGAGCCTTAATCCAGTGCCTTAGACCGCTCGGCCACGCTACCTTCTGGGGGATCTCTCTCCTGTATGGATTGCCTGATGTTTAACAAGGTCTGACCTCTGTATGAAACTTGTCCCTCAGTCCAAGCACTTGTGGGGTCTCTCTCCTGTGTGGATTGCCCGATGTTTAACAAGGTGTAGGAGGGGAACTGTGTGTGTGTGGTGGGGGAAAGGCCCAGCTGGCATTCCCGGCAGGAATGGGGAGGGGAGAAGCTCCAGGTGGCTTCCCCGGCTCTTTCCATGGAATGGAGTATAGAGGGGGGCAGCTCACCCAGAGCCTGTGGGGCAGCCAGGCTCCCGGGAGGGACCTGCTGCTGGCGCTAAGAGACCAGGCTCTCAGCTCTTCCCATGGCCCCTCTTAGGTCAGTGGAAGCGCTCCTCATGAGGATGCACCCCACCGACCCAAGGAGGATAGTGTGGGCATCGGCTACCGCAGTCATTACAGTTGTGGCTGTAAATCAACCTAATATGAGTTAAGTTAGGTTTGGCGCACAAGCAAAAGGATTTCTCTCACCCAAAAGCATTCAGCAGCCTGAACTCACTGGAAAACCCTCCAGCCAGGATCACTCCCCCCCAAGTTCAATGATGCCCTTTCAAGGTATCTTGCTGCCATGAATTGAAATAGGGGAGGGGAGATGACCAGAGGCCTTTTTTCCTCCTTCTCATACTCCGATCCTTGTTACTGGAAAAGTCTTTGCTGGGTCATGGGGTCAGGCAACTCCATGGCGTATGTGAGCTCCACACTGGGCAACAGCTGAATTGTAAATTTCTTTGTTTACCCCCCTTCTTCCTATTGGTGGACGGCCAGATAATAGATTTCTAACACCCATGGTCAATCCTTAGTCACCGCTGAGGAGTTAGTCTGTGGGCGTTCCCCAGAACGACGACATATTTCAGTAACAAGTAGGGTTACTATATGTCCGGGTTTTCCCAGAGAGAGCCTCACGAGCGGGGTTTTCCCATAACACCAAATGTCTGGGGGGGGTTTACAGAGCAGATGCACTGCAGCTCAGAACCGGCCCTAATCGGTCAGCTTCCCAACGGGTCCATGCCCCTGCATCCACAACTCATTGTTCCATTCCCCAGCATCTGCAGCTGATTGATTGCTGCCGGATCCCACCCACGGAGGCCCTGATTCCCAGCCTAGGGGAGGAGTCCCACAGGTAGGCGCTGACTGACAGCTGTCGCTGCGTTCTGGGCTTGTGCCAGCCCCCTGCCACTGTGACTGTGACCAACGCTGCCCTCACCTTGTGAGTGCCCCCACCGCACCCCCTCCAAAACCCCTCACTCTACTCCCCCCAGATCTCCACCCCCCCCCCAGTTCCCACCCCTCATCAGTGTCCCCTTTTTGGGCACCTGGAATATGCTCACCCTAGTAACAAACATAGAGTGAAAACTCCGCATTCTACATGCACTGGTCTTACACACATTTCAATGGCACAATATTCAACAGATCACGAGTTTTCCAATGATCCCTCACCGGGCATACATTGTTCACAATACAGTATAACTGTGTATAAGTGGTGAACATGGGGCACCAGGGGTTTAGTCACAAGAGGGATGAGTGTGGGATGAATGGGGCAAAGAGAGTCTGTCATCCCAACTCAGGACACGGTGGTACACGGGGAGGGGGTGACCAGCTGGGCTGTCAGGTTCCTCATCTCCCTCTGGCCTCATCGATGGGGGTTGGCCTGGCTTCAAGGCTGCCTCAGTCTATTGACATCCTCGGCTCCCTTCTTCCCTGTGCCCAAACTCGGCATCTCAGCAATAGGGAGATGCTGACTCCTTCCCCTATCATTTTTGGGGTGTCATTCATGGTCCTTTAGGTTTCAGGGGCAGCTTCACATGAAACTGACAAGCCAAGTGTAGTCACTCTGTGGCTGTGATGCAGTGAGTTCACAGCCTTAGCCATTTGGCTCTCAGGAGCAAATCCAGCAGTTTCCCAGCTCTGTTATTCCTGTCTTCTTCCTCTCCTAGCAGTATCTCACATCACTGCAGGGATCAGGCAGTAACTTTATTCTCCATTTCAGTCTCTGCCTCTTGCACTCTGAGTCTAACTTGCACCATCCATGTCTGTGCTGAGATATTGATCACTCTCATTCTTTAAACAACACAAAAATATCTCCTGACAAAGTGTTAGATAAAAATTAAAATTAAATCTAATAAAGGACTATTCCAACAAATGATCATTTGTTTCCTGAAGTCCTCAATAAATCTGAGCTACATCCTGTCCAACTAAACTAATATCAAAGTATGTGACCTCATGGCCTTCACGAAGAGAGAAAAAACCACAGTCCAGGGTGGGTTATAAAACACTTTCACAGTCATAAAGTGAAATCTCAAAGAATCCTTTAAGGCTCAAAATCAGGAAAATAAATGCACCCATTTTCTTCTGTAGTGGCTAAACCGGCTTAATTTCTCATCTCATTATTCGGTTGTATTAGTTGCATCATTATAATAAAAGAAAGAGAAAGAAAGAAAAATCTTCCCATCTACAAATGATCTGGACTAAGCCTAGAAAAAGTCAGGAAGCAATTTTACCAATAGATGGAAACAGGGCTATAAGATATGAAAGGTCAAACTGTGCTTTGAGGTTCATTGGGATTTCCCCACCCACTCTCAGGTCTGGGACACTTTCTTCCCAAGCCCTCAGGAGTCTGACTTAGGATCACAGACATCAAAACTGTGATTCCAAAGCATGGAGAGCCATGGACACGGTGCTAAGTGACACTGGGATGCGGAGGGGTAGAATTGGGTCAGGATAAAACTCTGCATTGCTGAGACAGAGGCTGATGTGTTGAGAGTGGAGTGCGACAGTGATGGGGGAAGGAGGGAAACCCTCGGACTCACCCCATCACCCTGAAATAGCACAGAAGGTAAAACACCATATTTCACTGTCCCTGCTCCTATTCTTTTAGCATCTAGTTAATTCTGCTCCATAAGGGAGAAAATGAACAAAAACTAAATGCTTTTCAGCATGGCCCGGAGTAATGTGAGACTATCTGGGAATGAGACAATCTGGCCCCAAAGAGGAAACTCAGGGACTAGTGATCACTCTCCTAATGGGAGAGAGTTAGAACACATAAGTAAGCAGTCAAGGGACACCAGACCCAAGCAGTGATATGTGCTGGAGCCTTCTCCCTCCCCATTTTGTCACTGATATTTTTAATAAAACTCATGGAGAGATCATGGGATTCTGTGAATTTTTATTACCTGTGATCTATCCATGAGTTTTACTAAAAATATCCATGACAAACTCTTAGCCTTACACATAAGATGCTCGGGGTGAATTTACACTAGGAAATCTGGTGGAGGGTCACAGAGATGCGCTGGCTAATCCTGACCATGATTCCTACCATAGACAGATGCTCAGGAGCTGATGCTGCGGAGGTAGATGTGGGATCTCCAGGCTTCCCGCAAAAGGCCCTGTAGGAATCAGCCCCTCTCAGTGGCACTTTCTGAATGCAGAAGGGGCAGGGGGAAGAGGCAGAGGGGGTGAGTGAGGAGAAGCAGCACCTCTCTATCCCTGTGCTCTCCCTCACCTCCTATCTCATGATCCCCAAACACTCAATAGCCCCAACACCCAGCTCCCCCTGCTTCCCAGCTCCACCAGCCCCAGCCATTCAATCCCCAGTGTCCTCCCCAGAACCCATCGCCCTGATGCCTTAATGTTGGATCCCCCAGAACCCAGCGCCCTGGGGGATTCAGTGAGGGGAGCAGTTACCAGTCCCCAGGGACACTCCCCCTGCAAGGAACAGCGCCATGTAAGTGTGGGAGCCCATCTCAGGGGCTGGGGACAGGGGTATAGAGCGAAGGTGGGGCCTTGCCCAAGTGTCTTTCTCCTCATCTCCATGTCAGGGGGATCCCGGCTGGGAAGGGAGAGGGGGGAACTTCAGCCAGGCAGAGGAAGCGGCTGAAGGAGTTTGTCTCTCTCCCTTCCCCCATCTGTGACCCATCAGCTCAGCAGCCAGGGCGGCAGCAAGGAAGAGGGGCTGATCTGGGCTTCTCCTCCTCTGCTTGGGGTTTGCTTAGACCAGGCAGAGCCAGAAGGTCACTGACCAGCTGATGTTCAGCTGATGCTGGATCCTCACCCCAGCGATGGGCAGCTGGTTCTTTGGGAGCCAAACACCCCTGATATGTGTGGGAATGAGGAAATGGGTGTCACCATGGCCCTAGTCAGGGCCCTGAGAGAATTTCCCAGCTGTGTGGAGGAGTCTCTAATGTCCACTGTGTTTTAGCTCCACTTGGAGCATTTTCCACACTGAGAACATCGGAGAGGTTTTTTCCCTGTGTGGATTTTCAGATGCCTGATACTCCGGGAGCACCAAATGAAGCTTCTCCCACATTCAAGCTCTCTGTTTTGTGGATCACTGAAGTGTGAAGTCAAATTGAATCTTTTCCAGCAGTCAGGCTATTTCTGGGGTCTCTCACCCTTGTGGATCTTCTGATGTTTGGTGAGCTCTGAGCTCTTACTGAAGCTTTTCCCACACTCAAGGCATTTATAAGGTCTCTCCCTCATGTGGATTCTCCCATGTCGAGTAAGGTATGAGCGCTGACTGAATTTTTTCCCACAGTCCAGGCATTTATGGGGTTTTTCTCCCGTGTGGGTTTTCTGATGATTACTAAGTTTTGTTCTGTAAACAAAACTTTTCCCACAGTCAAGGCATTTGTAGGGTTTGTCGCCTGTGTGGATTCTCTGATGAGTAATAAGGTGTGTGTGCTGCCTGAAAGTTTTCCCACAGTCAAGGCATTTAAAGGGTCTCTCTCCTGTATGCACTCTCTGGTGTCTAATAAGTTGTGACTTCTGAATGAAGTTTTTCCCACAGTCCAAGCATTTATGGGGTCTGTCTCCTGTATGGGTTGCCTGATGTGTAATAAGTTTTGTTCTGTCAAGAAAACTTTTCCCACAATCAAGGCATTTATAGGATTTCTCACCGGTGTGGATTCTCTGATGCTTAATAAGGTTTGAACGGCAAATGAAACTTTTCCCACACTCAGGGCATTTATAGGGTCGTAATCCGGTGTGGATTCTCTGATGTGCAATAAGGTGTGAGCTCTGACTAAAACTTTTCCCACACTCAGAGCACTTGTAAGGTGTTTCTCCTGTGTGGATTCTCCTATGTTTAGTAAGGGATGAACCTTCCTTAAAATCTTTCCCACAGTCAAGACATTTATACGGTCTCTCTCCTGTGTGGATTCTCCCATGTTTAGTAAGCTGTGAGCTCTGACTGAAAGTTTTCCCACAGTCAAGGCATTTATGGGTTTTCTCGCCTGTGTGGGTTTTCTGATGTGTATTAAGGGTTGATTTCAAACTGAAACTTTTCCCACACTCAAGGCATTTATAGGGTCTCTCTCCTGTGTGGGTCCTCTGATGTGCAATAAGGTTTGAAGTTTGACTAAAACTTTTCCCACACTCAAGGCATTTATAGGGTTTTTCTCCTGTGTGCAGTCTCTGGTGCCTAATAAAGTTTGACTTCTTACTGAAGCTTTTCCCACAGTCTAAACATTTATGGGGTCTCTCTCCTGTGTGGATTGCCTGATGTCTAGTAAGTTTTGTTCTGTCAACAAAACTTTTCCCACAGTCGAGGCATTTATAGGGTTTGGCACGTGTGTGGATTCTCTGATGCTTAATAAGGTGTGAGCGGCTAATGAAATTTTTCCCACACCCAAAGCATTTGTATGGTCTCTCTCCTGTATGGATTCTCCTATGTTTAGTAAGCTGTGAGTGCTGACCGAAAGTTTTCCCACAGTCCAAGCATTTATGGGGTTTCTCTCCCGTGTGGGTTTTCTGATGTGTTTTAAGGGTTGATTTCAAATTGAAACTTTTCCCACACTCAAGGCATGTATAGGGTCTCTCTCCTGTGTGCAGTCTCTGGTGTGTAATAAGGTGTATCTTCTGAATGAAGCTTTTCCCACAGTCCAAGCATTTATGAGGTCTCTCTCCTGTGTGGATTGCCTGATGTCTAATAAGTTTTGTATTGTCAATGAAACTTTTCCCACAGTCGAGGCATTTATAGGGTTTGGCACCCGTGTGGATTCTCCTATGTTTAGTAAGGTGTGAACGACAAATGAAATTTTTCCCACACTCAAGGCATTTATACGGTCTCTCTCCTGTGTGGATTCTCCTATGTTCAATAAGGTATGAGTTCTGACGGAAAGTTTTCCCACAGTGCAAACATTTATGGGGTTTCTCTCCCTTGTGGGTTTTCTGATGCGTGTTAAGAGTTGATTTCAAACTGAAACTTTTCCCACACTCAAGGCATTTATAGGGTCTCTCTCCTGTGTGGATTCTTGCATTTTTAATAAGGGATGAACTTTTGGTAAAACTTTTTCCATTGTCAAGGCATGTTTTGGGTCTCTTTCCTGTGTGCAGTCTCTGGTGTATAATAAGACTTGGCTTCTCACTGAAGCTTTTCCCACAGTCCAGGCATTTATAGGGCTTCCCTCCTGTGTGGGTTCTCTGATGTGTACTAAGTTTTGCACTGAAACGGAATCTTTTCCCACAGTCAAGGCATTTGTAGGGTTTCTCTTCATTGTGACTTGTCTGCTGGACTGTGGTTTCCTTGGGATCCTTGCATCCTCCGCCATGTTGAATGGATTCATCAAGTTGCATCCCGGGATAGTTTCCCAGCTGCATCTCTGATCTGTGTCGATCTCCCCAGGCTTCACCCTGTTCCAAGCACTGGGAAAAATTCCCTTCAGCTCTTCTCAAAAATGTCTCCTGCGGTTCCACCTTCCCAGGACCTTCCTGCTGCTGATTCTCCTCCTTGTTCTCACTCACTGTCCTATCACCTGCTGGGAGAGAGAGAATCCAGACAGGAGTGACTTCCTGAGCCGGGGAGAAAGGACAGAAAGGGGAATAGAAAACAGGGAAAACACCACACAGTGACTGTTGGGGAGATAGAGACACTGAATTCTGCCTCCACATCCCTCCCCAACACTCCCAGGGAAGTAAAGTCAGGGAGGAAATTCCCGACAGCTAACAGGATGGGTGGGAAGCCAGGACTGATATTTGACTTGATGCTATGACACCTGTTGACTGCAGCCCTGACCTGGGTGAGAAGGGGCAGAACTGGGGGCTCCCGCTCACTGCACATTTTGGGAGTCCCAGCTTTTTCCTTCACTCGCCAGATGGTTTCTCTGTCAGTTTCCCTGACTCCTCACCTGTGCTGGTGCCTCTCGGGCTCTCCCTTTCCTTGGAGTCCTGGAGATCCGGGACCCACGGCTCTTCCCCTCGTTCCAGCCGGGCGATCAGGTCCGGTTTGGGAATGGGGACTCCTGCGCAGGGGGTGAAATCAGGCAAGGTCAGGGCGCAGAGAGCACTGGTAGACTATTTGCCATTAGGAACATTCCTTGAGTTTAACCTGACTCTACATGGGACTGTGGTAACCCAGACCCTTTGGGAGAAGCAGAAATCTGGGGGCACAGGGTTTTTGTTATACCCGCACTCGGAGGTCTCAGGATAGATGTGCTGAGGGGACTCGTTGACACACACAAAATTTGGGTGCTAAGCTTCTGCCTATTTCCAAGCCTGCAGAACTGAGAGCCCTCCCCACGGCTGCAGCTAGTCCCAAGAGGGCAGGTGAAAGGTGTTTGAAGGAGAAATAATAAAGGCAGGACAATACCCTTCTTCTGGCCCCTTGAAAGCTGGAGAGATGGGGATAAATTAGCCTGTCCATTAGGTTTCTGATTCCCCTGTTCCCTTGAATGGGGTATGGAGATGCAAGTCTCTCTCTCACTGCAGCTGTGGTCTACGCGACCCTCCCCCCCCAATCCAACTGACCAGGGAAGAACCTGACCAGATTCAGACACGCAGACCCCACGGCTTCTAATAACCGAGGCGACAGGAATCCCTTACCCAGCAAGGTCACTGTCTCATAGTTCTCCTGCATGACGTCCCTGTAGAGGGCTCTCTGAGCGGGGTCCAGCAGAGCCCCCTGCCCCTGGGTGAAATACACAGCCACCTCCTCGAAGGTCACCGGCCCCTGAAACAAGAGTCCCCCACTGACTACGTGCTGCCCCTGCCAGAATCCCACTAGTCACAGTGGGGAAAAAACAAAACATTGAAGCTCTGGGAGGGCTGGAGAAGCAGAAACCCACCCCTACCCTGCTCAGAGGAGCCATATGGCTTCAGCAGGGTGGGAGAAGGTGAGAGCTCCTTGTCCCCCCCAGCACACGGAGCAGGGCAGGGTCTTCTCATTTCCCACACGCCTGCCAGCCACAGGCAGATACGGGAAGCAGAGCTCCGAGCCAGGGACAGGGACAGGAATCCCGACAGTTTCCCTTCGTATTTCACAGCAGCCTCTGGCCAGTGGGGTCAGGCTCCAGCACTGGGAGTCTGGTCAGTTTTCCCAGCCCTGCCCAGAGGGCTTGGGTCTTGTTTTAGAAATGGGGGAATGTTTATAACACCCTTCTCCTCCCTGCCTCTCCCTCACGTCATCCAGCTGCTCCCTGAAAATCCCCTACCTGAGCTGGCTCCATCACAGCCATTTCCCTGCCCTGTCTCCTGGAAGACGGGACCATCTGGAGCGAAACGTGGATGCGATTCCTCAGCCTGTCAGAGGAGCAGGGAGATTGGGCAGGTTTCATGAGAGGCTGGAGTCCATGTCACTCCCCGATTCCCCCCAGGCTCTCTCCCTGCAGACAGACGCTCTGATTCTATGATTCTGCCATGCTGGGAACAAACCCAGTTAGTTTATTACCACACAGGCCAGGCCCCTCCCAGCAGAACTAAACTCTCCAGGGACCCTTTTAAACCTCCCCGTAACAGCATCTCTGAGTGAAATGCTGGAAAAAGAGCAGAATCAAAGGAGTCACTTCAGGGTACTGTCCCACAGTGTACTGTGACCCCCTCTAGCTCTCCCCCATCTCCCTAAGTAGTGCGGTGCTCAGCAGAGCGAGCAACTGGCTTTTCCTCTCTCAGCTCCTTGTTCCCAGAAGAGCTGACTGCCCGGGCGGGTGGGGGGGACAGGGAATCATCTGGGCAGAGCTGGGAACCTCCCTCCCCACTTGTTGTTCCTGCTGCCCTTCAAGTCTCTCCGCTCTCCCTTTTTATCATCTTCCCTCACCCTCGGAGAACGGGTGACTGCCCCATTGACATGGACCTTTGTCTCATTAGGCAGATCAGCCACTGACACTGGTAACGGGGGGTTGAACCTGGCTGTGTCACTGAGGGCAGCAGCTCTGGGACTTGCAGACCCAGGGAGCTCCCTCTCCTTGTAGGCCAAACTCACCAGCCAGTCCCTGAAAGGCGCCCTTTGTGCAGAGTCATTTCCCTGCCTGGCTCCAGCCCTTTCCCCAGGTCTCTCCATCACCTGCAGGCTCAGGCTCAGGCTCAGGTACCCTAGAGGCTGGTTCCAGCCACTGGTTCCAGCGGGGTATGAGGAAGCGGGAATGCTCTTAATGTTTTTTTCTGAATACTGTGTGTGCCTCACTTTCCCCATGTGTTACTCAAGTATTAGGGGTGGGATACGGGTGGGATACAGGTGATTGTGGACATCCCTAGAGGGCAGGTGTGACTGGAGACTGGCTGCCTGGGCACAGAGAATGGCTGACACTCTGTATCCTGACAAGCAATAGCTGGAGTCCGTCCTTTGCAAGAAGCCAGCTGAAGGTGGTGGAGAACAACCAGAGAGGGGGAGGCCAGGTGACCTGTTTTCCTGGGAAGGAGAGAAAGCACGGAGGAGGGGCAGCTGGGCATCACTGAGGATGGGGGGCTGAAATCGGGTCAGTCTCCTGTTTTAGGACTCTGTGGGGAGAGCCCAGGGCTCTGGACTCTGGATTCCCTTCGAGCCAGACTTTGCTGAATGCTCCTGATTTCTGTGCTAACAAGCTCTGTTCTACGCTGTCTTCTCAGCGACCAACAAACCCTTCTGTTTTCGAAGCCAGCTGAGAGTCACCATGGTGGGGTGCATGGCCCCTGTGAGGGGTGTGTCAGGCTTCCCCAGGTATCCCATCCAGGTGGACTCCCTGCGGGGAGCTCGCAGTGTGAACAGGGGTGCTGAATACTACGAGGTCAGACCCAGGAAGCTTCTTGTCCTGGTGAGAGTGTGCTCCGCGGGGTGACACACTGCACCAGAATCCTGCCTGGCTTCATTCAGAGCCATTCCAGAGCTCCGAGACTGTGACTGTGTGACACAGGGCTGTCGTGAACACCTACCTCCCCTCCAAGCTCTGATTGCCTCAGCTCTCAGGTGAGTAAAGAAGGAGTGGCCATGCCAGGTGGCTGGCCTGCAATGAAAACATCCGATGGAGCTCTGGAAACAATTTAATACTGTACACAGCAATGATGATTGTGAAGCTTGGTTGAGGTGGTGAAGGCAGAGGGTGGGATATTTCCCAGGGAATGCCTTACTGCTAAATGATGAAGTAGCACTCGGCTGAGCCCTCAAGATTTAACAACACTGTTGCTAATGTAGCCTCACACTCTACAAGGCAGCACGAACGAAGGGAGGAGAGACAGCGTGGAAGACAGAGACACACACCGTGTGTGTGAGAGAGAGATGTGCATTGCCCCTTTAAAGTAGGCTGGCCGCATTCTAAGTACATTGCCTTTTTAAGTAGATCAGCAAGTTGATATAGCAGCTGCTGCCAGCAAGCTCCCTCCATCCTGAGCCCTGTCGTGTCCCCCACACTGCTCTGTGGAGGTGGGGGGGCAGAAGCAGGGGAGGGGGACACCCTGACATCAGCACCCCTCTTCCGCCCCCTGCACAGCAAGTAGGAGGTTCATGGGAGCAGCTCCAAGGCCACACAGGGAACTCAGGGGAGCTGATGGGGGGCTGCTGGTCCACCCTGGTTCCAAGCTCCCAACACTAGCTCCAATGGGCTGCTCTTTCTGCAAGCAGTGGAAAAAGCAGGTGGCTGCCAAACAACGTTATAAGGGAGCCTTGCGGAACTTTAAATGAGCATGTTCTCTAATTCAGAGGTTCTCAAATTGTGGTCCATGGACCATCAATGGTCCACGAGCTCCATTCAGGTGATTCGGGGATAGTTCCCTCTAAGGGGCATGCCTGGGCAGCCGTACATGAGAAAATGAAGGGCCAGCCACCTAATTAGTGGAGCTGCGCAGACGTGGCTCCACTAATTAGGTGCCTGGACCCTGGAGAAGATGCACATGTAAGCTCAGGTGGCGGCCTTGGGGAGAATAAGAGGTGGGTGGGAGGGGGCAGTGGTGAGAGAAGAGGGGGTGGGGGAATTTGGGACATACAGGGCTGCAGCGGCTCCAGGGCTCCAGCTGCTGGGGAGAGAGCCTCCTTCTTCCCAGTCCCAGGTTGGGGGCTGCTGCGGTGGGGGAGAGAGGGAGAGATCCGCCCTCCTTCCCAGTCCCAGCTCGGGGGCTGCCACGGCAGGGGAGAGAGGGCACATCCATCGCATTAGAAAGGTTAAAGACGACTGATATTAAAATATGGGTTGTGTGCTTTTATGTGTAGAACAAAAAAGCATTAATTATTATTAAGGGTTTTATATATATATAGCACTTTTATCCAAAGCACTTTACAATAGTTAGCTAATGCGACAAACAACATTTGGAAAGATCATTTCGTGGTCCACCGAGACCCTCAGCAATTTTCAAGTGGTCTGCGAAAAAGAAAGTTTGAAAACCACTGCTCTATTGATTAGCAATGTAACAACAAAACAATGTTAACCAGGACGACTTTAAGTGAGGAGTTACTGTATATTGGCTTACAAGGCAGGTGTGTGGAGGGGGAGTGCGGTGGGGGGGGGGGGCAGAACTTGGATCTGTTCTGGGAACAACCAAAAAAATATACAAACCCCTGAATGCTGTCTGTCCAAGTTACATTTTCGTGGCAATGCCTAATTCGGAAGAGATACAGTTTAGCTACCCTGTGGTTAGCGAGCAGGGAGATGCTGAGCTCAGAGAGTCTTTACGGTTTAAAGCACCAAAACTGTGGATCAATTGGCTCATTCTCCTGGGACAAGAGTGCCCCCACTTGGTCTGGGCAAGTTGCTTATAAAGGGGATCCCTGCACAGTACAGCACAGCAGGATCTGCCATGACACTATCCGGCCTTTGCTCTCCTGCTCATGAAGGATGTCCTGTCCTTTGCAGGAGAGAGAGAGGAGGAGCAACATCACCTTAAATTTCAACCTCAACCCCTTTCATGAAATGCTGACAGGCCAAAGCTGTGAAATATCATCATGCCGTTTCTACACAAGGCAACACTCAGGGAAGATGAGATGAGCGCCCTGCTGCTTCGCGCCTTCTCTTTGGACTTGAAACATCGAATGTGGGTTGCACCTGGACTATCCAAGCTTTAAACATGTTCAAGAAGAGATCAAAGGTCTGACGATTTATAGTGTTGGGGGGAAGGTCTCCTGCACTTGTCTGTGGTTGCCCTGACCACCACTGTCAAAATTAAAGCCACCTTACTTCTGAATAAGAGCGTCCACACAGGGGTTTGAAGCCCTGGGATTTATTGGCATTAACTTTACACTGTTAGCATACAGACAAGCCGTGAGGAAGGAAAGGAAAGGGAACACGGGAGGTGGTGGGAGAGTGCTAACTTTTTAGGTTTTGGTGCTAACTCTTTAGTTTTAAATGTTTTCATTTCTTTTCCAGGACACCCCCACAAACAGGCGAAGACATTCAGAGGCAGCGCTTGGCAAAGGAACAGGAGTAGTAGCCACCCAATCCGGATCAGAGTTTTCAGGCCATGAACAATAATGGGTCATTTACCATTGGAATCAGCGGCAGAGTCTGCGTCCATAAGAAAATGGGCGTATTTACCATGGCGCAATTAACCTGTATTAGCGTAGCAGCCGTGTTAGTCTGTATCCGCAAAAAGAAAAAGAGGACTTGTAAATTTGTTAATCTCTAAGGTGCCACAAGTCCTCCTTTTCTTCTAACCTGCATTAGCGATCCCGTTGCAAAACCATAAAAGAAAGGGTGAAGTGAGCACTGTGTGTGTCCTGACCAATGCAAAGGAGAAACAGAGCGATTCCTTTTTAAAATGATTTGACTTGGGCCGTACAAATCGGCACATGTGCCAGAAGGAAGAACATCCCTGAAGTGGATCACAACAAAGAATGTAGCATCCATAAAAGGCTGGGAAATTAAATAGGCCATTAGAAGTACAAACAATGTGGTAGAAAAATCCACATCGATGATGCATGCAATAAATGAAGTCAGAGAAAAGTGAAGTGGGCACTTCCGAGTGTGCAGGATGGGGGGTTACTTACAGAAATAAGGTTTTAAAATCAATTTTCAATTGCAAGGAGGTGCTGGGAAATCACATTCCCAGAAGGAGGGATAGCTCAGTGGTTTGAGCATTGGCCTGCTAAACCCAGGGTAGTAAGCTCAATCCTTGAGGGGGCCATTTGGGGAATTGGTCCTGCTTTGCGCAGGGGGTTGGACTAGATGACCTCCTGAGGTCCCTTCCAAGCCTGGTATTCTATGATTCTAAGGGTAAAATGGCATCATATGTTACAGGATTATACAACCATCCTAGATATATGGACCTTTTGGAAGGGGTAGCAGTAAACCTATGAAGCTAGTACACCCCAAAGGCTCAGACACAAAAAGATAATAAGACAAAAACAAAATGTATTCATTACTTTATTTAAATTCTAGACTGTTGGGTGCATAACTCACGGGGTTTGAATTCTTGGGGTTGTCAATTTGTCTTGGGGTTGCATATCTATGCTTAGCAAAACAAAAAAACACAGAAAGTTCCTTTTGAGAAGCCCTGTATAGGAGAGGTTTCAGAGTAACAGTCGTGTTAGTCTGTATTCGCAAAAAGAAAAGGAGGACTTGTGGCACCTTAGAGACTAACCAATTTATTTGAGCATAAGCTTTCGTGAGCTACAGCTCACTTCATCGGATGCATACTCTAAGGCCCTTAGGGACAGATTTTCAAAAGGATTTAGGCCACTAGTGGCATATTACAAAGTATCTAGGTGCCTTGAAACTTCTGGCCTTGAGTGAATATTTGGGAACCAAGTTCTGTAGACAAATGGGACATGGGATAAAGCACTAGGGTGCTGGACAGAGAGACAAAGAAATTGGCTAAAGCAAGACCCACTGGTGGAGCAAAGGAGACTGAAGGAGGTTTGAGCCAGCACTGAACTCGAATTACAACACTGCAATAGACACAGGAAGTGTTACACTAGACACACGGGGAGATGTGGTAGCTGATCGGGATGTAAAAGCGTAGCCGGTAAACATTAGGCTTACCGGTTAACCGGCCTTAACCATTAACTCCGGCAGACCCTCAGACGGATCCCAGCCCCCTTCCAGCGCCTGTGCTCCCATCCCCGCACCCCGCAGGCCCTGATTGTGCCCCTGGGCCCCTCTCCTTCCCCTGCCCCCAGCTGGGGCACCCCACAGTCCATCCAGTTTGGCCTCTGCCCACCTTCTGCCCCTCCCTATTTGCCCCCCTCGGATCTCCCTGAGCTGCAGCCTCTGTCCACAGCAGCGCGGCCAGGGAAACAAAGCAGCTGGGGGGGCGGTAACGTGATCCTGCCCCCGCCCCGCACACACCGGGAGCTGGCGGCAGCTTTCCCGGGCCGGGGCAGGGAATCGCAGCCGGCTCAGCTGGGAGCAGCCTGGGGCCAAACCCGCCCCCTGCAGCCCGGGGGTGACGGGGGGGGGCGGGTCTCTCTTACCTTCCCTCCGAGCGGGGCCCCCCGGGGCAGGGGCCGGGCCGGGAAGGGGCCCTGGCCGGGCTGGGGGCTCTGCCCTGGGAGAGGCTCCCGGGGAGCAGCGGGCAGGGCCCGGCTGGAGGTTCCCCGCTCCCGGCTGCAGCCCGGGCTCCGGGCTCCCAGCACCAGCCGCCGGGGCTCGGGGATCTCGCCGGGAGCCAAAATCCCCGCAGCGGCTGCGAGTCACTTCCTGGGCCGGGCCTGAGCCCCGCGATCCTCCCCCCAGAGCCGCCCCCCAGCCGCTCCTGGGTCCTAGCGATCAACCTAGCGAAGGATCAGCATCCCTGTGCCCGGCTCCTGTTACACTCACAGGCTCCGAGGTCAGAAGGGACCATCATGAGCATCTAGCCCAGGGGTTCTCACCACCAAATTTTTCGTGGTCTCAGAGTGTGGCCAGCAACTCTCGCTGGTGACGGCTCTGACACTTTTTCTTAAAATACTTAATTAACTTTAGGACAAACCAATAAATATGCCCTCGGGTAAGTGGGGGGGGGGGGGGGACGACAGTCCTGCTATTGTGGGGAACACAGCCCCGGTGGAATTGGCGAGCGAAAGGATCTGAGTCCTCGCTCCCACTCCCTTCACCCAGAACTTCTCTCCGCATCGGGCTCGCTAAGGCCTTGCTTTAACCTGCCCCCCTGGTCACAGGCTACTGGCACTAATTCAAAATGTCTGGTTGTCTCAGCTGGCTGGGCCAGATTTGTAGGGGACAGAGAGAGAAGGTAAAAGGAGAGAGAGTAGAAGGGGGAGGGAGGGAGGGTGGCATACTAGTTTAGACCAGTAGGAAGGAAACAGATGCGTGAGGGGAAGGCTGGCAGCAGAACCTCAAGTCTCACATCCCAGGGGGAGTTCAAGATTTAGCCTAAGACGAAGGAGTTGAGGATGTCGGCTGGTTCCCCTTCACTGGTTTGCCCTGCTTAACTTGCCTTTCAGGATCAGGATGATGAAAGCCCAACGGTGCCATGCTGGGGCCCAGGAGACAGCGGGTGTGAGACATACCCCAGGGTACAAATCTGGACTGTTGAACTGCTGAATTCTGCATCCCAGGGCCTGTTTTACACTGTTGCCCTGTGCGAACAACAAACCCCTCCACGCTCTGCTCACACACAGCCACCAGCCTTCAAACTCACTCCTGGCTGCACTGTACTGAGTGTGACTAGCCAGACACTCATGAAGTTACTAAACGGCACAGCAACATCAGCCAGTTTTCTACTCCCAGCCTTGCACCCCGGGAATCTGCATCTTGGACTGCTCAGTCTGTTCACTGTGCTGGACAAACTCAATAATTAGTGGGTCACCCCCCCCCACACACACACAAAGGGGTCGGATTAGGTCATAGCCTTGTTCTCTCAAGTCAAATCCCCCAAACACTTCAAGGAAAACACACAGGTCCAGACAAAACACTAAAATGCATTTATTAACTGGAACAAGGAGGTTTTCAGGGCTTACAAGGGAGAAAGATGTAAAAGGTCAGAACTGGTTAAAAAATAAAATTAAAACATGCATTTTAAATCCTAAATTCTACCAATCTAAGGAAGATGCGAAGCAAGCAGGTTTTCCCACCCCACCTGCTGTTGCAGGCAGCTCACAGGACCCAGGCTGGATTTCCTTCCCGCCTTGGTCCGCCCTCCCCTGTGGGCTTTCAAGCCATCTTGTTGCCTTCTGTAAAGATGGGAGAGGAGGGGTAAAAATGGAGGCAATTCTCCCTTGTGCTTTTATACCACTCTCCTCTTTGAGGTTCACCCCGCAGCTGGGGGGCAGGTGACAGTCAGTCTGTGGCCTAAGTAAGCATCCAGCCGTCTTTCACATCTGGGGTTTTCAACCTTTATCTTGCTGACGCCCCCTTCTGCATCCTATAAAAATGCCAGGGTGCATGTGGGGGGAAGGGGGGGAGAAGTGTGGGGCTCCGGGCCGGGGGGACACCCTTGGGCATAGCCATAGTTTTACTTCTGTGGGGGGGGGGTCAAGGGCTGGCGGGGCTCCAGGGAGGAGGCAGCACCTCCACCCCCTTACTCACTCAGGAGGCCACCCACCTGTCTGGGTAGTGGGGGGATGCAACCAAAAAACATAACTCAGTGGAGGGGACTCAGCTCAAAAAGTTAGAAAACTGCTTAGGGTTCAAGCAGGAGGTAGCTAGGGGCTGTGTGGAGGCAGGGGGTAGCTATGGGTGCAGGAAGGAGGTAGCTAGAGGCTGGGTACTGGCAGGGGGGGTTCCCAGTACAACTCACAGCTTCAGGGGGCATTGGGGGTCCCAGCTTCAGCCTCCCCACTGCTCCGAGATTTGGAGATGGTGGGGGCCACACTGGCTTCTGCCTCCCCCCTGCACCCGGCTTCGGGGATGGGGGGCCTGCCAGCTTCAGCTCCACACTGCTCCCGGCTGGGGTGAGGGGGGCCCCCGGCTTCAACTCTGCGACGCTCCTGGCCGGGGCGGGGGAGCCCAGGAATGTTGACAGACACATTTTAACCAGACAATAATATTCAGCAGATGACGACTTTTCCTACGATACCTCACAAGACATACTTTGTAGATTTCTCATTTTGTAAATGTGGTGACCATAAGAGTGTAGACCAGTGGTTCTCAAATGTGTTTCAGTGCCCCCCCCTTCTTTGTGTCTGTGGTCATTTACGCCCCCACCCTCACAGGCACATACATCGCCATTGAGCTCGAAAGGCAGAGTCGTTGCTGGCAAGGCCCCCAGCTCTGAAGGCCTCCAGCAGCAGCACAGAAGGAAGGGTGGCCACGTGAAAAGTGATATTCCTCAATATCGCTGTTCACCGCAGACTTATCACCCCATTGCCACCCTGACTTCTCTGCTGCTGCTCCACCCGGGTTTTGAGAGCCTGAGCATGTATCCCCACCTCCCACATAGGCCTGTTCCTTCTTCATGAGCCCTAGCCACGTGGGGCTGACAGCCAGTGCTCTTTCAAAAAAAAAAAAAAACCCCTCACAGATCATGCCTCCCTTGGGAGGCCTACTCCATAGTTTGAGAATTGCTAGTGTAGATCGTCACCATTGGAACTGGCAGCCAAGATGGTAACACCTGCTCCTTTCTGTCTCCGGGCTCCCCAGAGAAAATACCCGAACAGGAGAGCGGAGCAAATCCCATTAACATTAACCTTGCAAAACACATTTTGGAGATTTCAACTATTAACATTCCCTCCATCCTTTAGCCCCTACCCCCAGTGATTTCAATGTGACTGAGCTAGAATTGGGCAGGTCACAGGGACGATGGATATAATCTCTGAATTATTGATCCCTGAATTAACAGAATACAGGAACCCTTTGGATAAATTGTTAACCTCTAACAAGATATAGCTAAACATAGACCACTACAGTTACCCCTCTTCTTCCAAGTCTTTAGTAATACACGTTTACATTTCAAACTCTAGCTTATCTAAGGTGGACACACTTTTAAAATATCTCTCTAAAGGTTGAATCTGAGGGTAAATCTCAGTCAATTACATGCAAGTTGCTTAACGCTTTCTTGCCATGGATTCTCCCATGTTTAATGAGGTCTGACCTCCGTATGAAACTTCTCCCACAGTCCAAGCACTTGTGCGGTCTCTCTCCTGTGTGGATTGCCTGATGATTAACAAGGTCTGACTTCCTCTTGAAACTTTTCCCACACTCAAAACACTTGTGGGGTCTCTCTCCTGTGTGGATTGCCTGATGTTTAACAAGGGTTGACCTCTGTATGAAACTTTTCCCACAGTCGAAGCACTTGTGTCTCTCTCCTATGTGGGTTGCCTTATGTTTCACAAGGGTTGACCTCTGTCTGAAACTTTTCCCACAGTCCAAGCACTTGTGGGGTCTCTCTCCTCTGTGGGTTGCCTGATGTTGAACAAGGTTTGATCTTTGTATGAAACTTTTCCCACAATCCAAGCACTTGTGGGGTCTCTCTCCTTTGTGGATTGCCTGATGTTGAACAAGGTTTGACCTTCGTAGAAAACTTTTCTCACAGTCAAAACACTTGTGGGGTCTCTCTCCTGTGTGGGTTTCCTGATGATTAGCAAGATCTGACTTTCGTTTGAAACTTTTCCCACAGTCCAAGCACTTATGGGGTCTCTCTCCTGTGTGGATTGCCTGATGATTAACAAGCACCGACCTCCATTTGAAACTTTTCCCACAGTCTAAGCACTTATGGGGTCTCTCTCCTGTGTGGATTGCCTGATGATTAACAAGCACCGACCTCCATTTGAAACTTTTCCCACAGTCTAAGCACTTAAGGGGTCTCTCTCCTGTGTGGCTTTTCTCATGTGAATTTAGTGCTGACTTTGAACTGAAACATTTCCCACATTCAACGCATTGAATGGGCTTCTCTCCAGTGTGGCTTCTCCTACGGTTATTAAGATCTCTGCGCTTACTGAAGCTTTCCCCACTGTCCAAGCATTGAAGAGGTTCCTCTCCAGTATGGATTGTCTGATGTGTCGCAAGCTGTGATCTCACAATTAATCCTTTCCCATACTGCAGGCAGTGCCAGGATGTCTCTTCTTTGGGATTTGTCTGCTGCGCTCTGGGATCCTCGTCTCCTTCTCCACCATTAATAGATTCATCCACTTTCTTCCTTGGGAAGTTTCCCAGAAGCCTCTCTGACCTGTGCCAATTTCCCAAGGCTTCTCCTTGCTCCCAGCAATGGGAAAAATTCCCTTCAGCTCTTCCTAGAATGGTTCCCTGCGGTTCCACTTCCCCAGGAACTTCCTCATGATGATTCTCCTCCTTGTTCTCACTCCCTTGCTCAGCACCTGCTGGGAGAGAGACAATCCAGACAGGAGTTGTACTGGGGAGAAAGAGGAATAGCACTGAGGGAAAACCCAACACAAAGACTGAGCAATTGGATTCTGCCTCCACATCCCACCCAAACACTCACAGGGAAGGAGAGTCGGGAAGGAAATTCCTGCAGCTAAGAGGCTGGGTGGAAAGGCGTGAGCTATATCTACTAACCACAACCCTGCTCTGGGTAAGATGAGGAAGAACTGGGGGCGTTACTCACACCATATTTTGGGATTCTCAACTTTTTCCTTCATTCCCCAGATGGTTTCTGTGTCAGTCCTCACCTGTGTGGGTGCATCTACGAAGCCTTCTTTCCTCACAGGCCTGGAGATCAGGCACCCACGGCTCTTCCCCTCGTTCCAGCAGAGCGATCAGCTGAGGTTTGGGAACGGGAAATCCTGTGCAGAAGGTGAAATGAGTCCAGATCAGGGTGCATGGAGCATTGGTGGAGGATTTGTCACTAAGGACATTCTGTGAGTGGAACCTGTCCCTGTGCTCTGCTAGAGGAACGTGGAATCCAAGAGGATGGGAACAGGGTCGCTGAGCCCCGTTGCACAGAGGACATTGTCTGGGGAGGTGAGTTGAATTATTACTACACCCTCACTAGGCGTTCCCAGGATCTGTGCGCTCTGGGGGCCTTGCTGGCTCACACACACCTCTGGACTTAAACCCCTTCCTCTTTCTAAACCTGCAGAGCCCAGAGCCCTCCCCATGCCTGGAGCTATTCCCAAGGAGGGAGATGAACAGGGACTGTGTGTGCAGCCGAGAAACAACAGGATAATGATGTATTTATGCCCCTTTGAAAGCTGGAGGGGTGGGGAAGGTTTAGCTTGTCCATTGGGTTTTGACACCCTTGTCCCACTGGAGAGGGTACGGAGATGCAAGTCTCTCTCACGGCAGCTGTGCATTATGGAACCCATTCGCCTCTGATCTAACTGACAAGGGAAGAACCTGACCAGATTAAGACACGTAGACCCCACGGCTTCTAATAACCGAGGGGAGGAGAATCCCTTACCCAGCGAGGTCACCGTCTCATAGTTCTCCTGCATGACATCTGTGTAGAGGGCTCTCTGAGCGGGGTCCAGCAGAGCCCCCTGCCCCTGGGTGAAATACACAGCCACCTCCTCGAAGGTCACCGGCATCTGAAAAAACAAGGGTCCCCCATTCAGCACCTGCAGCCCCAGGCACTATTCACAGGGAAGGAGGACCATAAAAGCTGAATTCCCCCACCTCCCTCAGTCCCTGCTCAGAACAGCCAGGAGGCTTCAGGGGGTGGGGAGAAGGTGAGAGCTCCTTGTCCCCACCAGCACATGGAGCAGGGCAAGGTCTTCTCATTTCCCACATGCCTGCCAGCCACAGGCTGATATGGGAAGCAGAGCTCTGAGCCGGGGACAGGGACAGGAATCCTAACAGCTTCCCTACGTATTTCACAGCAGCCTTTGCCCAGTGGGTTCAGGCATCAGCAGTGGGAGTCTGGTTTGTTTTCCCAGCCCCGCCCTGAAAATCCCCTACCTGATCTGGCTCCATGACAGCCATTTCCCTTCCCGGTCTCCTGGAAGACGGGCCGATCTGGAGCGAAATATGGACGTGATTCCTCAGCCTGTTGGGGCAATGGGGGGAGGTTCCAGAAGGGGCTCGTGTCCATGACACACCGCGATTCCCCCCAGGCTCTCTCCCTGCAGACAGACACTCTGGGCTCTGCCAGGCTGGGAAAACCCTCAATCACTTTATCACAACACAGACCCGGATCCTCCCCCCAGCACTGAACCCCTGAAACATTTTCAACCCTCCCAGGGACAGTCTCTAAGACAAATGCTAGAAAAGAGCCGAATCGAAGAAGCCACTTTGGGGATCCCCCCTGACATTGACCCCAAGCACAGCATGTCCCCCCAGCAGTGCGGGGGGTCGGCCAGGGCAGGAACTGACTTCTCCTCCATCTGACTCTCCTGGGCACAAGGGGAGGAGCTGTCTGCCCTGGGGTGATGCAGGGAAGGGATCCAGGCAGGGCTGGGAACCTCCCTCCCCACTTCCTGCTCCCCCTTTCAGGTTTCCCCTCTGCCCTTTCTGTCTCCTTCCCTCCCCCCTCTGCCTGGGAGAACTGGGGACTGTCCCGTTCCCATGGGCGTTTGCTCTCCAGGGTGAGCTGGGCTGGGTCACTGAGGGCAGCAGCTCGGGGACCCCGCAGACCCATGGGGAGCCCCTCCCCCTCTAGTACAAACTCACCAGCAGGTCCCTGAAAGGGGCCCTTTGTGCAAAGTCACTGTCCTGCCTGGCCCCAGCCCTGTCCCCCCGGGACTCCCCATCCCCTGCAGGCTGCAGCTCAGGGGCTGGTGTGGGCAGAGCCTGCGGCTGCTACGGGGCCTGGTTCCAGGCTCAGTGAAAGTCCCCACCCGGGCTGGGCCCAGAGGAGGGGGGGGGGGGGTTAATGAAGGTCTGTCTCTGGCCCAGCCACAGTGCGGGAGCAGCAGTTTCACACTCTGGTAGGCAGCAGTGTCTGAGCCAGGGAGCTCAATTCAAGGGCTCTGACATCGGGAGCAGAGACAGGCACCAACCTCCTCCTCTCCCTCAGCCAGACCCGGAGCCCTCTGGTGGCAGCAGCTCATGCCTGAGCCTCCCTGTCCTGCCCCTGCAGCCCCCAGGGACAGGCAGGCGGAGGCAGATCCCATTGGCCCATCCATGCTCAGAGCCAGCAGTGACTCCGGTCTGACTCCGGTGTGGCTGAGATCTGGATCCTGCCTGGAAATCAGACCAGGGCCCTGGGCAGCCCCCAACACTCAGGAGACACGGACCCCACCAGCGTGGGTGTGTCGGACAATAATACACTGGGAGCCGGGTGCGTGGGGGGGGGGGGGTAAGAGGGGCATATTTGCCTTGTAGCTTCTGACCCCGTCTGGTTGCTGGGTGGGGCAGCCCCTCCCCCTCTCCCTCTCCTGCCCCATGGGGTGGGGGAGCTGCCTTGTCTCTCTCCCATCCCTTCTCCCCGACCTCTACCTCTACCCTCTATCCCTCCGGGCCCCAGCCTCCCCTTTCCACATCCCCCCATTTCCCTCGCAGTGACCCCCCCTCAGAGTTTCCCTCTATTGCAGCCCTGCTCCCATCCGCCCCATAAGTCTCCCCGATTCCCCTCCATCGCCCCATCCTCCCTTCAGCCACCCCTGGCCCCATCCCATCGTACCCCTCACACACCCCTGTTCCCCCTTATCTACACCCCTGCTCCTCTTCCCGCTCCCACCCCTTCAGCCCCCCAGGAGTGGCTCCCCCCGCCCCGCACACACCGGCAGCTGGCGGCAGCTTTCCTGGGCCCCGGGCAGGGAATCGCAGCCGGCTTCGCTGGGAGCAGCCTGGGGGGCGGCTGGTCTCTCTTACCTTCCCTCCGAGCGGGGCCCCCCCGGGGCAGGGGCCGGGCCGGGAAGGGGGCTGGGGGCTCTGCCCTGGGAGAGGCTCCCGGGGAGCAGCGGGCAGGGCCCGGCTGGAGGTTCCCCTCTCCCGGCTGCAGCCCGGGCTCCGGGCTCCCAGCACCAGCCGCCGGGGCTCGGGGATCTCGCCGGGAGCCAGAGTCCCCGCAGCGGCTGCGAGTCACTTCCTGGGCCGGGCTGAGCCCCGCGATCCACCCCAGAGCCGCCCCCCAGCCGCTCCTGGGTCCTAGCGATCAACCCACCAAAGGATCAGCATCCCTGTGCCCGGCTCCTGTTACACTCACAGCCTTTCAGGACAGAAGGGCCCCTCATGAGCATCTAGCCCAGGGGTTCTCACGACCAAATTTTTCGTGGTCGCAGAGTGTGGCCAGCAACTCTTGCTGGTGGCGGTTCTGACACTTTTTCTTAAAATACTTAATTACCTTTAGGACAAACCAATAAATATGCACTGGGTTAAGCAGGGGAAGGTTCCTGCTATTGTGAGGAACATTCCTGGCTTATACACAGCCCCGGAGGAATGGGCTAGCAAAAGGATCTGAATCTCCTCTCCCACTCCTTTCACCCAGAGGCCTGCCTGACTTCGTGGACTCCCCTTCCACTTGGGTCCCCGTAACCCCAAGGCTGGAGCCCTGGGGGGCTCGGCCCCCAATCTTGTTGTGATCACTCAGGCCAGCTGTCCCCATTGAGGGGTGCTTCCCTGGATGCTTCCTTGACCATTGCACAGAGTTCAGAACCAATACAATTTATGAAACAGCAAGTAATAAAAAAAGATGAGAAAAGTGGGAAAGATTAAAGGAAAACACTTCACGCTGGTCGGGGGGGGGGGGGGGGGGGAGAACCACAAACAGCATCTCTGGAATGTCTGTTTTAGTTTGCGCATTTGAAAAAAGAAAAGGAGTACTTGTGGCACCTTAGAGGCTAACCAATTTATTACAGCATAAGTGTTCATAAGCTACAGCTCACTTCATCAGATACATTTAGTGGAAAATACAGTGGTGAGATGTATATACCTAGAGAACATGAAACAATGGGTGTTACCATACACACTGTAACGAGAGCTATTACCAGCAGGAGAGTGAGGAGGGGATGGGGGGGGGAAGAGAGAAGGAACCTTTTGTAGTGATAATCAAGCTGGACCATTTCCAGTGGGGGCGGGGGGAGGAGGGGAGAAAATAAACCTGGGGAAATAGTTTTACTTTGTGCAATGACCCATCCACTCCCAGTCTTTATTCAAGCCTCAGTTAATTGTATCCAGTTTGCAAAATTAATTCCAATTCAGCAGTGTCTCGGTGGAGTCTGTTTTTGAAGTTTGTGTTGTTGAAGAATTGCAACTTTTAGGTCTGTAATTGAGTGACCAGAGAGATTGAAGTGTTCTCCGACTGGTTTTTGAACTTTATAATTCTTGACGTCTGATTTGTGTCCATTTATTCTTTTACATAGAGACTGTCCGGTTTGACCAATGTCCATGGCAGAGGGGCATTGCTGGCACATGATGGCATATATCACATTGGTAGATGTGCAGGTGAACGAGCCTCTGATAGTGTGGCTGATGTGATTAGTCCCTATGATAGTGTCCCCTGAATAGATATGTGGGCACAGTTGGCAACAGGCTTTGTTGCAAGGATAGGTTCCTGGGTTAGTGGTTCTGTTGTGTGGTGTGTGGTTGCTGGTGAGTATTTGCTTCAGGTTGGGGGGCTGTCTGTAGGCAAGGGCTGGCCTGTCTCCCAAGATCTGTGAGAGTGATGGGTTGTCCTTCAGGATAGGTTGTAGATCCTTGATAATGCGTTGGAGAGGTTTTAGTTGGGGGCTGAAGGTGATGGCTAGTGGCATTCTGTTATTTTCTTTGTTGGGCCTGTCCTGTAGTAGGTGACTTCTGGGTACTCTTCTGGCTCTGTCAATCTGTTTCTTCACTTCAGCAGGTGGGTAGTGTAGTTGTAAGAATGCTTGATAGAGATCTTGTAGGTGTTTGTCTCTGCCCATTGTAAGTTTCACTTTCAATAATCCAACTGCTGCTTAAATCACTGAAATTTACACTGCTTCAGCATTGTAACTTCTGCTCACTGTTTGAGTCACAATATAGACAAGTGTAAGGAATGACAAACTCCATTTTAAAATGCTTACTCCATTTTGTAAAAGCTTGTTGCAACCTTCATTTTTGCAAAACTCTGCTGTAATCTTATTAGTTTATATGTGTGAATGAGGTATGTATGGATGATGGAATCAACCTCCAGCCCCAGTCCGTCCTGATAAAATAAAGGGTAAACATGCAAGGGCTGAAGATGCAGACAACAGCCCTGACAAAGAAAGAGGAGTCCACCCTCAGAAGAAAAGAACAAAAGTGCAATTGAAGAAACATCAAAGCCAGGTCCTAGGCTGAAAGTCATGCCTGCAATTGACGGGTGATCAATCACACGGAACCCAGAGGCAGCGTGACACAGCAAGACCTATAGACTCTTGATTCAAACTGAAGCCTACAAAAAAGATGGATGAGATGGAAGACTTTGGAGGGTAATATTCTGCTGCCAACACAGAAGGGTATCGGTGCATGCCCAACAGAGACCCAGCCCTTCCTTGTGCCTGGCTTTCCTGGCCAGTTAGCCGCCACAAGCATCGAACCCAAGCAACAAACTCAACCTACATTCAGGACTGGTAACTATACAGCAGCTGCAGAACATTGTGTGTACACACACACAGGTATTAGATATTAGTTATTGGTCATAAATCAAATTGTATTCTAGTAAATGTGACATCTTGTCTCGTCTCCTGAAATGACCCTGTGTGGTTTTGTCTGAATAACGCTAGGGGGAGCCTATAGGGTCAGACTACACGGCAGCATCAATTACCATGATGGAGGGGAGGATCTCATGCACGTTCATGGAGGAGCTGTGGTTGGGGCCCTGAGGGCTCTTGCCGGCCCCCGCACTCCCCATCAGGTTGGCCAGCACTGGGGGCAGCTTGGAGGCCCCGGCTCCATCAGGAGACTGCGAGGCGGCGGCTGGGTCGAGTCCTTCCTGGTAGGCGGCCTCATCCATGGTGCATTCCTGAGAGAGGGGACAGAGGAGACACTGGAGTCAGGACAGGCTGAGGGCAAGGAGGATGCCCCAGCCTTTGGGGCTGGGGTCAAGGCTAGGCACTCGGGTTCCTGGGCCTTTGCCCTTCTCTGTTTATACACGGGAGACACAGACAGAGCGGGGGAGGGCCCCCAGTGAGCTGGGAAATTAACCCCCTGCTCTAACCCCTAGACCCCTTCCACAGCAAGGAGCGAACCCAGGAGTCCTGACTACCAATCCCCCTGCTCTAACCCAACAGGCCCTCTCCTTCTGTACTCCAAAGCAGGGTAGAGAACCCAGGGCTCTGGGCTAAACATACCTCATTGAGCAGGATGAGTTTGGGCGGGTCAGGTTCATGGGGACTGTCTGGAAGGCTATGGAAAGGAGAGATGCCCATCAGATCTCAGTTCCAAGAGATGAGGTCATAGCCCCCGCATTATGGGACTCAGCACAGCCTGATTGCTCTCCCCCCCCCCCCCCCACTCTGCCCCTTAGCTCCCAGCACAACCCCACAGGCCAGGTCTACACACCCACCCTGCATCCACGGGAAGCAAAGATAGCAGGGTCAGAGAGGGATCCTGGTGCCCAGGAACCTAGAGAGGCCCCTGGTGGGGTCATCTCCTGGGACCTCTGGAGCTGAAATCAGGGTCTGTGCTCCCTGAGTCTAACCACCAGGTCAACAGGCTCAGAGGCAGCAGCCGGCTCATATGCTGCTAGAGAGGGACAGAGCCATGCTGGATTCAGGTGGGTGGCCTTAAATTTGATACACTGGCCGTTGCATGGTGCAGCCATTAGAGGGGGACAAAGAGCCTACATTGCGCAACTGGGAAATGGTGCCCCGGCTTTGCCCCCAGTATCCTTCCAACCCCTCGCACTGCTCCCCAGGGCCACGCCCACCTCTCCTTGGACAGGAAGATCTCCTGCAGGACGCCCTTCTCCCTCTCAGCCTGGATGAACTGCTCACGGCTGCCGCTGCCCAGCTGCACCGGGGGCTAGGCAGGTCGATGAGCTTGGGGTAAACCCAGGGCACCACCTCTTCCATGGCGTCGTGGCTGAGCCGGCGTGCCATCTCAAAGGCCTCCCTATCCTTCAGCATCTCCCACTTGGCTGCCTCGCCAAAGTCCTTGGTCTGGTTCACCTTGACTGCCGGGGGGAGAAGAAACAGGGAGGGGTTTAGTCAGGGGACAGACAGGCCACTGCCGTACAGCCGATGGGAAGGGTGACACCCCCCTCCTCCCCCACTCCATAATCGGAGTTCAAAGGCCTCGTATCCCCTTTTCCCACCTGCAGAATCCAGGTAGTCTCCTGGTGCCGGAGCAAAGCTGGCAGCCCCTAGAGGGAAAGGCCCCATGACCCAGTCTCCTGGTGATAGATGGGAGCTGGTGCCCCCTAGAGGGAAAGGCCCCATGTCCCATACCCCAAGTGCCGGATTGGAGCTGGTGCCCCCTAGAGGGAAAGGCCCCTTCCCCAGTACTCACCCTGCTCAGTCTCGTCCAGCTCGAAGTAGAAGTACTCCCGCAGCTTGCTCTCTTCAGGCCAGCTCACTGTCTTCTTCTTCTTGCCCTTCTTGGTGAGCTACGTGGAGCCAGCGGCACTCTTGGGTGGCTTGGCGTCCGAGTTCTGCCTGGACGGGACGCAGAGCGGCTCAGCAATCAGACAAACACACCCACGGAGCCTGGATCTACCAGCTGGAGCCAATGCCTCCTGAGCCCAACCCAGGACCCCCAGTGAAGACAGCCCTGCCAGCCCCACAGTTGAGCTGACACAGGGGCTGCCCCCTCCGCCAAGGCAGCTGTACCCCAGCCAGCATGGCACGCCCGGCCACGTGCATTATGGGGTTTTACGGCCTCCTGGGTGGCAACACCAGGTCTGATCCAACACAGCCAGGGTGTTGGGCTGACACCTACTACCCGCCCAGGATTAGCACAACAGAACCCGTTGACTTCAACGCTTTCCCCATCCTTACCGGTCTCCATCAGGTCTGGGACCTCTACTGCCGGGCCGATCCACCTCCATGGGCTTGAATGCAGTAGTGGGCTCTGGTGAGGACGGTTTAGCAGCGCTCGCTTCTGGGGCTGGCTTCCCTTCAAACAGGCTCGCCTGGGACACAGAGAGAAATGTGGGATCAGCGTAATGGGAAGTGAACCAGTGACTCCCAGCCCCTGCACCAGATTCCCCTCCCCTCTCATTGCTGATGTCAGAACCCAGGGGTGCTGCCTCCCAGCCCCCTGCTCTAACCCACCAGACCCCCCACCCCCTGAGCTGGGGACAGAACCCAGGAGTCCTGCCTCTCAGCCTCCCTCCCCCACACCCAGAGATTTTTGTACCTTGGTTGCCGTAGGAGACAAGACTTTCTTTTTGATCGTGATCCCTGGGATGGGGGCAGAGTTAAGGGCATCCAGGAAACCCAAGCTCCCCATTGCTGTGGCAGGGGATGGGGGGGAGGGAAGAAAGAGGTTTCACAAACTGAATGCTCCAAGCACCTGCAACTTCATGTGTTATCCCGCCCCTCCCCCATGCTACACCCCACTCGCCTCCCAGAACGAGGGGTAGAAACCAGGAATCCTGACTCAGTCCCACTCCTGCAGCTCTGCTACGCTCACCAACTAGACCCCACTCACCGCCCAATGATGAGGACCGAACCTAGGCATCCTGACTACCAGGGACTCCATGTACTCACGTTGCACGGCGATGATCTTGAATTTGATTTACTTGGTGCTGTTGGGGGTGGTGTTCAGAGGCTTGTATTTCTTCTCTACTGGTGGGTTGTCTCCAGAGGGGGCGGACATGCTGTGAGAGGGAAAAGCAGACATGGTACTGAGGCCATGGCCCAGGAAAGGGATCAGGCAAGGAACAGGCAAGCCCAGCTCACGTGGCGATCTGGCGTGAAGAGCATAGGAAGCACAGCACAACCCTGGAGCTGCTTTGCAGGGGGCTGAAAGGGTAAGCAGGGGTGGCTTAGGGGAACATTACCAATGCTGGGCCCATACTACGCACAGGGCCTCAGGCAAATCCCCTCAGCACTCAGTCCTGCCTCCCACCTCCCCGCACTCTAACCCACTAGATCCAACTCCCCTCCCAGATCCAGGGATAGAACCCAGGAGTCCTGCCTCCCAATTCTACACAGAGTGCTTCCGAGGACTGAGGAACAGAGTGGAAAGGTGAGGTAGACAGAGGAAGCCACAGGCCCAAGGTCTGGACACTTTCCCCAGAGCAGGGCGGGACGCTCAGACCAACCTCTGCCTCTTTATCAGCATCTGCTTCAAGTTGTATTTTTCAGACATCACTACAGCATTGGGGTTCTTCTTTAAAGGAACCAGTGAGGGAGTCTCTACTTCCAACCCTATGGAAAAGCAAAACTCAGGTTAGCAGAATACAGCAAGCTGATGAGGTACTATGGAAATGTGTGGGGCTTATCTGCAAGGATCCTGAAGGATTTTTATGTTGGGATTGGTCACCCAGAGGAGAAATGCAGCGACCAGTTGGCCATGTGTTCTGTCCAGGTGGCAAGCCTCATGGGAAATAACTCTGGTAACCCTCATAAGTGAAAAGAAAAGGAGTACTTGTGGCACCTTAGAGACTAACCAATTTATTTGAGCATGAGCTTTCATGAGCTACAGCTCACTTCATCAGATGTATACCGTGGAAACTGCAGCAGACATTATATACACACAGAGATCATGAAACAATACCTCCTCCCACCCCACTGTCCTGCTGGTAATAGCTTATCTAAAGTGGTCATCAAGTTGGGCCATTTCCAGCACAAATCCAGGTTTTTTCACCCTCCACCCCCCCACACACAAACTCACTCTCCTACATACAGCATCCGATGAAGTGAGCTGTAGCTCACGAAAGATTATGCTCAAATAAATTGGTTAGTCTCTAAGGTGCCACAAGTATTCCTTTTCTTTTTGCGAATACAGACTAACACGGCTGTTATTCTGGAGCCTCTGATAGTGTGGCTGACGTTATTAGGGCCCGTGATTGTGTCCTCTGAATAGATATGTGGGCACAGTTGGCAACGGGCTTTGTTGCAAGGATAGGTTCCTGGGTTAGTGGTTCTGTTGTGTGGTATGTGATTGCTGGTGAGTATTTGCTTCAGGTTGCGGGGCTGTCTGTAGGCAAGGACTGGCCTGTCTCCCAAGATCTGAGAGAGTGTTGGGTCATCCTTCAGGGTAGGTTGTAGATCCTTAATAATGCGTTGGAGGGGTTTTAGTTGGGGGCTGAAGGTGACGGCTAGTGGCGTTCTGTTATTTTCTTTGTTAGGCCTGTCCTGTAGTAGGTGACTTCTGGGAACTCTTCTGGCTCTATCAATCTTTTTCTTCACTTCCGCAGGTGGGTATTGTAGTTGTAAGAATGCTTGAGAGAGATCTTGTAGGTGTTTGTCTCTGTCTGAGGGGTTGGAGCAAATGCGGTTGTATCGCAGAGCTTGGCTGTAGACGATGGATCGTGTGGTGTGGTCAGGGTGAAAGCTGGAGGCATGTAGGTAGGAATAGCGGTCAGTAGCTTTCTGGTATAGGGTGGTGTTTATGTGACCATTATTTATTAGCACTGTAGTGTCCAGGAAGTGGATCTCTTGTGTGGATTGGAACCGCCCCAAATGTATAAAAGGGAATGTAATCTATGTACAGTTATCTAAAAATAAAGCAATATAAAAAAGTTAAAAAAGAAAACGATTTGCAATGTATATTATAAAAAAATGTAAACATACAATCCTATTAGGCACCAAGGGGCTACAATAAATGGTGTTTTCCTTTTCAAATCACTGTGTGTTTTAAAAGCAAAAATTAAAAATAAAAAGGAATCAAAACTCTGATAAAAGTGAATGCTGGCCCTTTTAAGTAAAAGTCTAAGTTGCTCATGGCTTTAAATCCAAAGCAAGCCAAAAGGCATCTGGCTTAATTCATATTACCTAACTAATAAAGGTAGAAGCCACTAAAACCTGGCCTGCCTATAGAACAAATACAAAAAATATGGGGGTAATTCCTCTGTTTTGCCTGCAATCAACAAGGGTATTTATATAAAAAAATTTTAAGCAATAACTTGTCACCCCCCCAAAAAATAAAAATGTTTGTCTTTCAAAAAAACCCAAAAATCTAATGCTTGCTAAAAAGCAACCCCAAAAATACCATAAATCTACTGGCACAATAAAAATTGTGTTTTGCATTCCACATCCTGTCTTGTGGTGTTTGTATTGTAACTAAAATGGTTGGGTTTAATTTCTCCATAACAGCCTAATTTAAAACCAAATAAAAAAATTAAACCAAAATGCAAATACTTGCTTTATCCAACTTGGAACATACAGAACATACAGAAACCATACAGGTTTCTCTCCTGTATGGATTGTCTGATGTGTTCCAAGCTGTGAGCTCAGAATGAATCTTTTCCCACACTGCAGCCAGTGCCAGGGTGTCTCTTCCTTGGGATTTGTCTGCTGCACTCTGGGATCCTCGTTACCTCTTCCAGTTAATAGATTCATCCACTTTCTTCCCTGGGTGGTTTCCCAGCAGCCTCTCGGACCTGTGACATTTTCCAGGGTTCTCCCTGTTCCAAGCAGTGGGAAAAATTCCATGCAGCACTTCCCAGAAAGGTCTCCTGTGGTTCCACTTTACCAGGAACTTCTGCACCATGATTCTCCTCTTCATTCTCACTCACTCGCTCATCACCTGCTGGGAGAGAGACAATCCAGACAGGAGACATTGTGCTGGAGAGAAAGAGGAATAGCACCAATGGAAAACCCAACAAAGACTGAGCAATTGGATTCTGCCTCCACTTCTCACCCAAACACTCACAGGGAAGGAAACCTGGAAAGGAAACTGCTGCAGCTAACAGGGTGGGTGGAAAGGCATGAACGATATCTGCTGACTACAGCCCTGTCCTGGGTGAGAGGAGGAAGAAGTGAGGGTGCTTACTCACATCACATTTTTGGGATTCTCAACTTTTTCCTTCATTCACCAGATGGTTTCTGTGTCAGTCCTCACCTGTGTGGGTGCCTCTTGAGACCTCTTTTTCCTCGCAGGCCTGAAGATTGGACACCCACGGCTCTTTCCCTCGTTCCAGCCGGACGATCAGCTCAGGTTTGGGAATGGGAAATCCTGCGCAGGAGTGAAATCAGACCAGATCAGGGTGTGCCATATGCTGAAAATATGCTTATCAATATGAATATGACATAACTGGAACATACCTTAAAGGGGACCTTTTGCATAAAGTATCATTGGAAAAGTTGTAACTTACTGAATATGGGTTTCCTATTTGGATGTATGTATCATTCTTATATTTAAAGTTAGGTGAGGAGACCCCTGCTTATCACCCAAGATGTCCGCTGGAACTAAGATACTGAACAGGGGAAGGGATTGGGCCCAGATTAGAAATAAGTCTAGTCTGTGAAAGAAATTTACTAGAAATAACTAGCTTCTTAGTGCATGAAGCTTAGCCTTTCATGTTTGCTTTATTTTGCTTTGTGACTTTGTGTTCTGTCTATTACTTAAAACCACGACTTTTTATACTTAATACATTTTGCTTATTAATAAACCCAGTGTAAGTAATTATTACTGATTGGGAGAGGGCAAACGAGTTGTGCATATCTATCTTTTAGTGATAAAGAGGGCGAACACTTAGGAAGTTACCCTATATAACCTTTATACAAAGCACGATGGATTTATATGGGATTTAGATCCGACTGGGGCTGGGTAACTGGAGATAGGGATCTTGCTGTGTTGTTTTCAGTTAAGATTTGCAGCTTGGGGGCATGGCCTGGACCCTGAATCTGTGCTGAAGCAGGTTAGCATGTCTGGTTCAACTAGAGGGTACTTTTCCCAAGCTAGCAGGGAAAACAGGCTCAGTGGTCATTTCAGCACATCAGGTACAGTTCCCAAGGGGGTCTCTGTGACCGAACTCTTCGCACAGGGTTCATGGAGCATTAGGGGAGTGTCTGTCACAAAGGGCGCTATGTGAATTTAACCTGTCCCTGTGCTGTGCGGGTGGGAATATGGAACCTAAGAGGACAGGAACATGGTCACTGAGCCGTCCTGGGGGAGGCAGGTGTCTGGGGAGGCGACAGGAATTTTTACACCCTCACTAGGAGTTCCCAGGATCTGTGCTCTCTAGGGGACTGGCTGACGCACACCCAGCTCTGGAGTTAAACCTCTGCCTATTTCTAAACCTGCAGAGCCCAGAGCCCTCCCCATGGCTGGAGCTATTTCGAAGAAGGGAGGTGAACAGGGATTCTGTGTCTGACTGGGAATCAATACAGACAGGACAATGAATGAATTCTGTTCCTTTGAAACCTGGAGGGATGAGGATGAGCTCGCATGTCCATTAACTTTTGACACCAGTATCCCATTGGAGAGGGCAGGGAGATGCAAGTCTCTCTCACGGCAGCTGTGCATTATGGAACCTGTTCACCTCTGATCTAACTGACCAGGGAAGAACCTGACCAGAGTCTGACACGCAGACCCACAGCTTCTAATAACCGAGGGGACGGGAATCCCTTACCCAGCGAGGTCACCATCTCGTAGTTCTCCTGCATGACGTCCCTGTAGAGGGCTCTCTGAGCGGGGTCCAGTAGAGCCCCTTGCCCCTGGGTGAAATAAATAGCTATGTCCTTGAAGGTCACCGGCTCCTGAAACAAGAGTCCCCCACTCAGCATCTGCTGCCCCAGCTACAAACCCGCTATTCACAGGGAAAGGAAATAAAAACTCAAAACTCTGGGAGGGCCAGAGTAGCAAAATCAGACCCCTACTGTTCAGAGCAGCTAGGAGGCTTCGGGGGCGGAGAAGGTAAGAGCTCC